ATCTTGTGCAGAGTTGCTCCAAACATGTGACAATGTCAACATTGCTCATGGAACTGGAGTCAAAAACTGTTCTGCCAATCCATTGGCAAACAAGCAGGCCACCTTCTCATCCAGCTCATCTCTACAGCCACAACACCCCTATTTTCCACAATACCAGCAGTTTTGCTCCTAACTCTACTAGTTCTCTTCTTACTAACTATCCTCAATGTGGCAGTAGCGATAATCCAAGCCTATGTCCTTGTGCTCCTACTGAGCCTTTGCCTACTTAGAAAAAAGAAAGACAAAAAAAAAGGGAAAGAAAACTAAAGTACTAGTGAACAGGTATCTCAGTTCAAGAAGGCTACTCCTCCAAGAGCATCAAGCATGGGCAGCTGAGAATGCACAAGTCAGGCCCAAAACAGCTCCAGTGCCAACCCAGTTCTCCCCAACCTCCTCCATCCAGCCCATTCCTCTGCCTGTTCCAACTGAGGGCCTGAGCAGGAGTGCACATGTGCACAAGGACAGGAGTGATGTGTGATTTGGTTCTGTGACAATTGCTGCCTGCTGGCATCAATACACTCTGTCAGACAGAGATAGGAGCTAAGGAGGCAGGAGCTGTTCCCTGGCAGGCACACTGGCCTCACACACTGGCTTGCCTCTCCAGCACGGAGCCGTGCCTGCCTGAAAGGCTCATCCCTGCCTTTGCCCTCACTCTCCCGCTGCCAATGTTTCAGTCTTGCACTTGCATTTCCTGCCGTGAGCTCGCCCTGACCTTTGACAGGCTCCATACAGTTAATTAAATTCGTCTGAAGTTGCTTCATTTTTAGAGGGGTTTTCATTTTGGCTATTCCCTTTCCCGCCACACTGCAGGATACAGCTCCTTAAGGAAAACAGATTCTGTCTTCAGCTGAAAGTCCAGAGAGGTTTTTTCATTGACCTAAATTAAATTCCAGATTTGCATTGACATCAGAATTTACTCCCAGAACTTTCAAGTCCTGCCAAATTCATAGAAATTGAGAGCAGCATAGTTAAATATCTGCTTCCACTCTTTAATTAAACAATATTTATAGTACAATTGGACATACGTATATGCATTTTGAGTGAATATTAATGCTTTAAATTATACAATTAAATTAATCATGAAAATAAATTATATGCCTCTATTCAGGGAGTCAGCAAAAGCAGGGACAGAAAGGATTTCTCCTCTTTTACCTGCTTAAGAAAAGAGTTGAAATTATATACGTTAATGCTAGAAAGTGGTTCATTAATTAAAATATCACAGGGCCCTCCAAAGAGAATAAAAAGCTAGGTAAGAATGATTAATGTGCTTTTACACAAAGAATGATACATTTTATATATCTTTGACCTTCTAAGGTCAAAGGGATTATAGGACTGTTTGAAGTTCAGGAGGAGCTGAGCAAGGAAACAAGAAGGCTTTTCATGGGGTGATGAGAAGCTGCAGCTGACATTTCAAGAGCAAAAAGCCTATTTTTATTAACTCCTTCTTTCTCAGGTCAAAAATGTTTTTGACAGAAGAAATAAAAAACAAGCATGCAAATGTGCAAAAAGTAATCCAATTTCCTCTGCAAGCACACAGACCTCATCTTGAAGCTGAGCAGATGCAGCCGCACCAGCGCGGCTGACCATGAGGAGGCAGAAAGGAAAGACCCACGGGAGGCAGGGCACTGAAGGCAGGATGGCATGGCACTACTGGAGCTTCAGTCAGCTCACTTCTGGAAATTTATTAGGGCAGCTGCTCAAATTCTGCAGCAATCGTAGCATATTGTCATCACAGATCTTTCTGTTTCAACTTCTGATGAGCATGTCCTGCACACTCCTGTGCACAGCTCAGTGGGTAAGTGAACATCAGGGCAGTTCTTTGAGCATGCAAATAATGGCAAATAAAGCATGCAAACCAGAGAAAGGAGTGCGGCATGAGGTCTCAGGGGTAGATTAGGTTATTTATCCTCAGTGAGTATTTTATATGCTGAAAAACACTTTTTGCAAGGGAGTAGAGGAAGGATAGATGAAGTTTAATTAAAAGTTTTGACAGTGAGATCTTAGAAACATGAATGACAGGCCAAAGTGTTTCATTTTATATTTTCAGTATTCTTTCACTTTTTTGTTTTAAAATGGCATTTTTACTTTAAAGTAGTCCAATTATTCAAAGGGGTGTTAAAAAGGGTTTAAAACCTTACAAAGGAAACTAAATATTTGACTTTCCATCAAATGAAAGTTTTTGATCAATCCTAAATTATTTTCAGTTTAAAGTGTAATTACAAATTACTTTTTATGTGACTTTTAGCATAAATTTTCATATTTTGTACACATATGTGCTATATAAAACCTAAAGTAAATTATGTATATCTACCTACTCAGCCACAGTGGTAAAATGTGGAGAAGACAAGTTTCTTCTTTATCTGTTCTGAAATAAACTGAAATTTTGTATTTTAATGCCACAAGAAAGTCCTGATGTTGAGTCCTGGCAAAACAGGACAAGTACAAATATAAACAAGTATTGGTCACTTAGGGGTCACCAGTATAGAAAGAGTTTGTTTCAGCATCCTCAATTCAGCTACCCAAGTGAAAATTCAGTAGAGGCCTTGTATGGAACACTTGGATTAGAGCTTGCTTCTCCCTTTTCATTTTTGTCTGGTTTTCCTGATATTTTATAGACAAAATAAAACTTTCTCACTTTTCCAAGATTATTTCTCATTTTTTAGCTCTAATAAAGAATTGGGAAGAAAAAAAATCTCATTTTTCTCTGCCTCCCTTTGCTTACCCTCAAGCTCTGAACACTAATGCTTGACTGCTATTAATGCAGCTTGCTCAATTTAAATAGACTTTGTGAGCATAAGCTGAGGTTGCCGACAAAAGTTCTTCATCTGCAAAAACAAAGTCACATACACAGGGACCATTTGCTACAAAAATCCAGTAAATTAGAAAATTAAAGCTGAACTGGAAGTAGATTGCAAGTTTCCACAATCTAAGGGATGAGTAACTTGATTGCATGCAGAGCAATTGTCTTGGTCTCAGACTTTTTCCTTGTCTGTATCAGGAAAACACAAGAAGGTTCCTTGTTCATGAATATGCTACCACAGAAATGCACAATGCTGGAAAACCTATTCAAGGCTAAACCCGGCCTCTCTCAGCTCATCTTCACAAATAAAGTATTTTTTTTCCTCTTATTCTTTAATATTCTCTCTACAGACACCCAAATGCTGCAGGCAACTTCAGCAAAGATTATTCAGTCAAGGGCTTAGTCCAAGCATAAAACTATACCTAGAAGATATGGTATCTACCCTATAAAATCTACAATTCAAATTTCTTTGCTGCCTATAGACTACTCTGCTATAGCTCTATTTGTGTTGAGAGGAATGCCATGTATGGTCTTGATTTCTAGTGCTCTCTGAAAGGAAAGGTGAATTTCACCTTAAAGGCTTAATTCAGCCCACTGTTTATTCTGGACTTGTACTGTAAATTCACACATGTTTGAGGACATTTTTTATTTGGTGGGATACCTGCCATGTAATATATGTAGCAAAGGGCAGGCTGGTCAAATTCACCAAATCATTTTGGCTTGAAGAAAAGTTAAAAAAAGGCAGACTTGGGAGAGTATTAGTTTGTGGTATACTTTTAGCTAGTATTATACCAGTGGGAAAACACAGCTGGATGTGAGAAAACCCTGGTTTTCCTCCTCTGACAGAGGAGATGTAACCAATGGCCCTCACTTCCCAGAAGTTCACTGATGATATCAAATCTTCTCATGTTCAGGGCAGGGCATCTACCTCAGTCTGTCAGGCTATCTTGTTTCACTGGCAATCAGTAACTTTAGAAAACCTTGAACTGCAGGTTTCTCACCTTCCAGCTGAACATCCTACCCCTTGGGGTAGGGAGCCACATTCACTTCCTCTAGCTGTCTTACCTCCTAAAAATCTAAAAAACAGGGTAGAAGCGCTTTAGCAGAAGAGACTGAGGGAGCACCAGTAAAACCTGGTGGTTTGGATGTTTGCTACAGAGATCTGAGTTAAAATTCACTGCTTTGTGCTCCAGGGGCTTGGTAGCACAGGAAAAGTGAGCAGTACATGTCAGGAGTGGTTAAATGTTTTGCCATGCAAAGAAGGTGTGTGTGAACTCACCCTTCGTCTTTACCACTGCTGTGCTTCAGGAATGGATGGGAGTGAAGATGCTGCCTTCTGGTCTACTTTTTGTTGAATATTTTTTTTAAATCTTCAAGGGAAACAGACACAGGAGGAGGTCTAGGTAACCTGCAAGTTGGAACAGTCCTCTTTGCTCATTTCTGTTTTCTAATAAATATTTATACAAAGTTGAAAAGTGACAGAACAGTTCTCTGGCACTAAGCTAAAACTGTCCAACTCTCCATTTCATTTTCCAGTTCTGTGACTCTATCCCTTCATTTCCTTTGCTTTTCTTGTAAAGGCTTGGGAAAACAAATGTTTCATTTGGGATTGAACAGAAAGTTTCATTTGACATAAAATATAATTTGGGGAGTTTTCATTCTTCTTTGGGGACAAAAAAAAATGTTTAAAAGTCTAGATTTATTTTAATACAAACCAAAATCTTGATAATTTTTGTTTGGGTTTTTTTTTCCTGCTTGTTTGTTTGTTCATTTGTTTGGGGGGTTTGGTTTGGTTTGGTTCGCTTTGTTTTTTTACCTCATCACTAGAGAGAAACAAAATCAATTCTTCACATAGCCTTAATGGCACCTTCAATCAATTCCAACTGTTAGGTCTCATTTCCTCGGCCTCTGTAAGAATTCCAGACTATAAAAGAAATTGCTGCAACTGGAGAAGGTGTACTAAGCAGGTTTAAGGAAAAGACAATATGATTATTGTAAGATAGATGAAAAAGGAAA